GAATCGACAAATAAGATAGAGACCCACAAGTAGATGATTGAAAATGTGTTTTGAATGATGTGTTCATCATGGAGTTGTTTGAGGAGTTCTCATGTGGCCACAAATAAACCGTTAAGCTTGTTTGCTCTGATGTTCAAACAGGGCACAGATTTTACGACTTCGTGCTGGCCATGTTGATTGCGTGCATATCGCTGGAGCTGCTCATCGGCATCATCATCATCTACATCGGCAACCTACATTATTACCAGGTGGGAGGAGTTAAATGGCACGTGAACGTTTCAGTTTTGTTTTTCTGTTGAAAATTTTTTCAAATTGTGAAACTGCTAATAATTTGTTGTAGAATATGCTGACGTTACATTCGTTTGTTTTCTGATAGCTTAATTAGTGGGGGTCGTACGGTTATCGGAAGTTCAATTCGATTTCGAACCGATTTCGATTATCAAATTCGATTCGAATTGCCAAGCAATATCATTTTCATTTCGGTTTTTTAAATTTTTTTTTGCTCGATAGCTTTAAATGTTAATGTTACCAACAACGGAAATCAAACCAAAAACGGTTAGTTAAATAGCGTATAAAAGAAATGATAGCCTGCCATTACCATTTGATCGGACGCAAAACATTTTAGCCGTAGTGACGAAACACTTTGGTCGTTTATAAATTCTACATTAAAAAAATGAGTCACCGAAAGAAAGGTTGAAAACGAAAATGAGTTGTGTTTTTAGGAACCTATCATGGCTTCTAAACTGTGACGAATCTTGGGAGGGGAGCCGGGGGGCACTGGTTTTCCTGTTGTGAGCGTTATTTCTGTTGGAAAATGGTAAAAGTCGATGTTTTAACGTGAAAAGTAATGTTTATAAAAGAAAAATTGACATTAAATACTCATCAGCAGAAAATTTGGCTTCTCCGTCAAAATGTTGGCCCACCCATGAGCACAAAAAACTTCGAAACAAATTTGCGCCAAAATAACCCCAGGTCGTCCACTTTTTTGTTTGAAAATTTTACTCCTCCGGTCGTCATTTTTGAAAAATATCCCCTCCCAATCATAAAAATTTTTTCAAGATCTTGTCACACCCCGTCAAATATGTCTAGACCAGCTACTGCTCCTGGACAATCTGTTCGTAAGTGGTGGGTCAATAATGAACCAGGCTTGCCAATAACAGCTGTAGAGACTCAGAAGTATTTGAAAATTTCTGCCACGTCCCCCACTGAGCAAATTATTTCCATGTAGGGTCAAATCATCAGAGATGGACGGAACCGACTGAAGTTCGGCCATGCAGAACAATCTCTTTTTCTGGGTCGTAACTGGAGCTTGCACTACAAAAATGTGTTGTTTTGTTTTAAAGTTCATTTCAAACTTTTTATTAACATTTCAATTTTAAAATTATGTCAACGAAATCGAAATTGAATTTTGTTACCTGAAAATAATCGAAATCGAATTGATTTCTCAACCCTCAACCCTCACCATCAGTCAAAAAGCAAATTAATGAATATCGGTTGACAACATGATTTTTATAGAAAGTTATTAAAGAAAGAAGATTATTTTGTGTTAATATTTCGTCATTTGTGTGTGTATGTGTACGTGTATGTGTACGTGTATGTGTACGGGTTGTTTCCTCCAAGATGTGCTTTTGGGTGTTTTTGTGGTTGTTTGTGTGCGTGTATGATTTGTTTTTGGTTTGTCTTGGGCGTTGTTGAGGTTTTTGTGAGTGTGTGTGTGTGTGTTAGGTTTGTTTTCACCTGTCTGCATATTATGTATTTTATCTTGTATTTGAAAAGCTTTATGGCATGTGTTTAAACAGAGTTGATTGATAGTTGGGGTACATGCATTAATTATTAACTAGGAGTTGCACTCTATTTTTGTATTCATTTCATGTTGATTTGCAATACTTTTTTTTACTTCCACATAAACAAACCTGTTCAAAAAAAGAACAGCAACCCCCTCACAAAACAAATCTTCTGAACTTTGGAAGAGTGTAATTGACCTTTGACCTTTTTTTAACCATTAAAACAAACCAACTAGACAACAGATCGGATGAACTTCTGCTACCAACTCTTCAACTGCTTCACGTGCTGTGGCAGCAACAACAGCTATGTGGGCAGGTCGAAGCGAGCACCTTTCTCCAGCGGTGGGTCGGGAGGTGTCTCGGGAAGGTTGTCGTCTTCGAGGAGGGGCGATGCATCCGCCACTGACGACATCGAGTTGGGAGTGGGATGCTGTCGAGTTGGCGGGGAGTCCCGGTTGGAAGCTCTGGTCGATCTGGAGAGGGCCGATTGTAACATTGAGTTGGCCAGGATCAGAGTGGCTGATGGAAATGTTAAAATTGCTCGCTCCGCCAACTACATAAAAGTAACTTTTCAAATTGTATTTGCTCGAGAAATTTTCTAGTTTTAGTTTCCAATGTCAGAAGAGCAGGTATAAACTATTTTGTTAAATAAAAGTAATGACGTACATTTTTTTTAACGGAAACTAGTGTAATCATTTCAACAATTTTCAACACGAACAGATTGTAGAAGAAGCACTGAAAAAGAGCCCAGGTAGTTCAGAAATGGAAGCGGAACTTCACAGAGCTCGTGACGACCACGCAGGAGCGATGAGAGAGAAAGAAGAATCCGAAGCGGAACTGAAGCTAGCAGAGGCCCAGCAGAACCACGCATTCTTCATGAAAGAACAGGAGGAAGACCGCCAAGAAAGAGTGACCTTCCGTAAAATAAGTTTCTGGCAACACATGGCTACCTACCTGCTCTACTTTGTGATGCTCCTAAACGTATTCATCACAACATTTGGCATTTCGACAGGTGTGAGCCACCAAGACAACCCCAACGTAGCTCCCCCACTATTTCCCACTCCCTTCCCTCACTTCAACGCATTCTCCTACCACTCAGCATCGTCACAACCAATCAACAATCAGCTCGTTAATTTTACAGTTAAGCCAAATTAACTTTGGAACATTGAAATAAAAATGTCAGGATCAACAATAACGCCTTAAAACATTTTTATCTTTAAGTCTTAGGTCTTATAGTCGGGCTGGAGTGAACATAATTTAAAAAATAGCTATCGTATTTTTGCAACTATAATCTAATGCTGTAGCTAGTTTACATTTTCACACACACACACACACACACATACACATACACACACAAATACACACACACACAAACAAACAAACATGGAGACACCCGACAAACAAACATATAATGTCTTGTACCTGTTTATAAGTAAACTATGTCATTTGTACTTAATTACACGTGTACATATATGTTAGTCATTTAGTTGTAGCAGAACTAACGATGAAGGAATGAACCTACCTAGGACCTCGTGCAATCCATCCAACAACAATTTATTCAATACTTTATTTATTTCTCATTATTTAAATGTTCTTCATTGAAGAGTCAACAATTTGATATAAATATTTGGCAGGTTTAGCCAAGTCGTTATCATTATTCATTATTTCAAGCCATGTATTTACTTTGTGTGTATATATATGTTTAGTTCATATATATATAATATATATATATATTATATATATATATATATATTATTTTATAAATTTAGTTTGTATAAAATATTTTCCTTTATAGATGAAATGTATGAAAATGAATGAGGAATGTACATTGTACATATGCATGCTTATTTATGAACTCAGTTTTCTATTATTGCACAAATTTTCCTGGACCATATTGGCAGCTGAACTATCAAATAACTTTTTTGTCGGTTTAAAATTAATAATCAAAAATTTAATCAACATTTTTTTATTGCTCATTATGTTTATATGATTATTATTTTTGTTATTTAAGATGTTGTCGTTGTTATTTATATTATTATTCGTGCTTAAACTTTTATTATTATTGATGTTTTTATTGTTGTCGTCGTTTTTTTCGTCTTTTTGTTGTTTGGACCAAAATTTTCGAATACATATTCTTACTTTTGCCATTAAAATTCAATTTTGGGCTGGCTCTCTGCATAAGGTTTCATCTGCGTTTCAATGGTTTCATTGCGCAAAATTTTTTGTTCGCTTTCGTTTTTATTTGCCGTTTTTTATATTTTTATTTTGTTTTTATTTTAAAGTCTTGCGCGAGATTTTATTTTCGTGATGAAAGGCACAAATGTAATCATTGCAAAAATGTATTAGCATTACGAAACATTACTTTGGCAGTTCAAATGGTTTTCTTGTCCATAGGATAGTCTAAATAAATAATATATTAATAATTTAATCCATTTAAAAATAATTTGAATATTTTTGTTGCTTATTATTTTCGTAACTGTCATGTCTTGTTGACATTTTTGTCATATAAATGTTGTAAAAATTACAGACATATTTATATTCTTGAAAATCCGATGAATGGAAGACGCCCGTTTTAGCTGTTCTACCCAAAGAATGAACGACGTCTTGAGGCATTTAATAATGCAGATTGTCTCTTTGAGGATTAGTCGTTGCCATAAACAAAAGAAAGAGTATTTCAGCCGAAAAGATACAAATTGATGTATAGATTACGTTAAAGTCACTACGTCTCTCTTGTTCCAACCGTCACAATCATCACAACACATACTATCATGTTGAACACCAACATTTCATATCAACAGAAGGCATCACATTGTTCTCATCTCGATAAAACTAACTAAATGTCATAACAAATCCTGAAATAGTTTTTTTTTCTTTACAGGAAATGTTATTTTATAAATCATATTTAAGACCAATTGATATTATTTGAAGTATACCTCATTTTTATATTTTTATTTTGTTACCAAAGCCAGTTTTTACATGCAATATATTAGTTCGCTTTAGCACCCTCTCAAGACAGAATAGCTCTTCTTTGCTTTTTAATTTTTTGCCCCGAATGAATTTAAATTTATGAAATGCAGCAAGGTTGGTGAGTGTAATTAAGTAGATCACACACATACAAAGATTGGTGCATGTGTAAAGATTTACAATTGTTTTCTGAATGTTTCGAAGTTTAAAATAACGTTTATTTGAATGTTTTTAATGTAATAACAAAATTTTTTATGAACAGTTTGACGTCTGTAACAAAAATTTGAATGAAAAATTCACAGGACTATTTGAGAAGGAAACAACGCGATCCATACGAAAACTGTCTTGACGCAATACGTTGATGCAGCGCAAGTTGGAACTGGACGGAGACTTCAGCACAGCCATCTCTGTGACATCATCATTCTTGATCGACTGACGATCAACTCCAACCAACTCCTCGCAGTAATCGGTGAAACATTTAGAATATCTATTCAACGATTCCTCGCGGGTAATTCCACTCAAAACTTGCCGGAACCAATTTAAGTTTGTCCATTCACGGTGCGGAAGTTTCGTGAGCTTAATGTAAAATCTTTTTTTTTGAACAGTTTTATTTACAAAAGTAAAAAGGTTCATCCCAAAACGAAAATTCAACCTATAAACTAATCGACTGGTCGGACCAACTTGAAAAACAACAAACAAATTATAAGGCCTTCATAACCCGCCACATGTATAACCAGCATAAAAACTGCAATGCATCTGGCAAGCTCCACCAGATGCACTAACATACATCGAAATGACATCCAAGTGCATAAGAACAAGAATAGGAAGTGCATAGGTCAAATCGTTCAGAGCATGACCGTGAGATTGCATCCACGTAGATAAGGTTCTCATTTTTAAAAGTCCATTCCAACGAGCCAGACCTCCAGCTCAGTGAGGACTTGATGAAATTAAACCTGCCTGGATGAAAAGTCAAACTTGAGTTCGTCTCGACAGGATCGCTACAATCGAAAATAAATCGAAAATAAGAAATCTAAAACTTTGAAAAACCGAAGTGAAATATTTTTTTTTTTTTTACAAAAGAATAATAAAAGTTAACGCAATCAAACTGCATGGGTAAAAATAAATATAATATAACGATGAACATGAATAAATCATTGATGGCGTTTGTTAGAAGGGAACATAATAGTTCTTTCACAGATGATGGTACATCTTCAATCAAACAATCAATCAAACAATCAATCAAACAATCATTCAAACAATCAATCAATCAACCAATCAATCAACCAACCAATCAGTCAACCAATCAATCAGTTAATAACTGATAGTCACATAGCAGTAAACAATTTTTAGTAAAACTCAACAAACAATAGTTAATATAACATAAAGCTTGAACCCACGCACACACACACACACATACACACACACACATACACACATTCACACACAGACAGAAACACATTCACACACACTTACACATACCTATAAACTTTATATGTATTCATATAATAAATTAACCATCATAGAAGAATAGGACTAAAGTGATTGTACGTGTTAAATCAAATACAAGTGAAAAATATCTGTGTTCAACTGTTCAACATGTTCAACTCGCCTCTTCTAAACGAAAATCGAAATTATATAACATGTATGCAATAAACAACCCAATACAAATATATGTGTATATATCAGTTTATATACATACATAAATAATACATCAATGATATATTAGCAAACTATTAAACCAAATTATAAACCAAATAATGAAAAATAAATTGATATAGCAAATACAAGAACTGGTGATACTGAAGAATAACAAAATGAATGAATGAATGTATGAATGAACGAGTGAGTGAATGTACACTAAAAATCACGTGTGAGTTTGTGTATCATTCATAAAAACGGTGGGATGCATGGTTGGTGAGTACTTCGCATTCACTCACCACATCATCATTTTCTTCATCATCTTCAGTATAAATATCATTATAATTAACATCATTCATTTATAAATACATACACACACACACACACTCATACAAGTACATACATACAAACACAAACACACACGTACATACAAAGAAACACACACATAAATAAATGTTTGTGTGTATTTAAAATTTTTTTTTACAATTCATTTTTGAATAATTCTTAGATATATAAACAAACACAAACACGCGCGAATCGTGGTGGTCTTCTTTGCGTTCGAACACAGCACATTTAACCATTACACTATCACGCCACTCATATATAAATATGTATATAACACATAATATGCAACGTGTTAAACCGATAACAGATAAAAAAAAGTTACATCAACCTATTAAACGATAATAACATTTAATTCGAAGTAATTCATATTAAGTACAATAACTGAATAACTAGTGATGGGTGATGATTAGTATGACGTCATCGCGTTAATCATTCACTAATATGACGTCATCACATTGTTGTCGTTGTTGATGGTGGTGGCGATGAGGGCAGCATGGCAGCTGTTGCCATCAACATCTTACCTATTGTCGCCATCAACATCTTACCTACTTTCAGATCTTCAGGTCGTCATCATGATCGTTGCTTCGGTGGGCTACGTGGTGCCTCACAGCAATGTTCCTACTTGGAGACATGCGGACAGAAGAGCTAAAAACTAACAACAGAAGGATAGCGCGAAAGGATGAATGAATGAATGGTTAATGGATGGATGGATGGATGTATAAACGAATGATCGACTGAAAGAATGGTTGAGAAGGTGGATGAATGAATGAATAAATGAACGGATAGATGGATGTATATACAGATGAATAAACATATTTTAAGATGAATGTGTAAATGGATGAATGAATGAACGAACGAGTGAACGGACGAACATAAAAATAAACAGATGCATGAATGGATGAATGAACGGGCTAGTGAAAGCAGGGATAAAAAATGACGTACAAAAAGTTAATTCCAACGAAAAAAAGGCACTAATGGTCTAGGACAAATATTGTTTCATATGCCACAAATTTAAATTAAAACACAAACACGCACACACACCCACAAGCACACACACACCAAACAATTGTGATTATCATACACTGTGTATAACAGCCACCAATCAATATATATATATATATATATATATATATATATATATATATATATATAATAGTGACAAAGAAGAATATGATGCTATCGATGAAGAAAAGGAGACCAAAGAAGATGACCAGCCAATAAAGAAACCTGACACCTAATTTCCATCTAAGTTCCCTTTGACAAAGTCAATCTCCATCTAAATTCATTTTGACAAAGTCAATATTTCCCTATATAAACAGCAGAAAGCACTGATGATGATTCATTCGGAATCGAAATATGGCCTTATTTGCAGCATGAATTCGAAAAATAAGTTTATTTTGAATTTTAATAAACTAAACGTTCACCAAAAAACTTTAGTGAGAAAAATTGAAAAAACGAACTACAAACTTATTAACGCCAAACATTCGGTAAAATTTATAGAATATTGTAATAATTATGGTCTATAACCAACATATATATATATATATATATATAACATATATATATATATATATATATATATGTTGGTATCTATTACCAACATATATATATATATATATAATGGTAATAGACCATAATTTTTACAATATTC